GAACTATCCCACAAATAGTTTGAATGATATTCCGTACGTTCAGACTAAAGTTTTAAAACATATGTTGTAGCGCTATCTTGATGGTAATTTATATGTTGCAATTATTTTCAAACCGTTAAAACATGTTATAACTGCTCAGTCTGACCAGTGTTTTAAGCTCTTTCTTATGGTTATTTTAATTGTTTTCTTTAAGGGTATTGAGGTAAATGCATATTCGTTTATTCTGCATTAAAAATGGTAAAAAATCCATTGAATTGGGTTCTCAAATTTTGAAAAATATATCGGTTTCCATACATCATCTGAAAGGGCTTCGTTTTCTGAACACAAGAATATTTTTTTTCGGTCTCATTTACTTCCATCTCGATTTTTAAATCGTAATTAAAAGCAAAAAAATCACTTCACTGTTTGACACAAAACTAACAAAATGACAGCTCTCTCCCATACAAATTACCACCGAGCTAAGATGTTAAAACGCTGAACAGACTGGAGAGTTATAACATGTTATAACAGTTGTCAAATAATTGCAACACAGAAACCACCATCAAGATAGCGCTATAACATGTTATAACTCTGTAGTCTGAACCTAGGGGTAATAGTACGTTCAGACTACAGAGTTATAACATGTTATAGCGCTATCTTGATGGTGTTTTCTGTGTTGCAATTATTTGACAACCGTTATAACATGTTATAACTCTCCAGTCTGGACAGCGTTTAAGACAGCTTTGGATAATGAGTAAAATTGGAGTAAATTTTGAGTAACTCTGAGTAACTCGAGCTGCTCAATATTCAATGTCAAAGTGACATAGCAACCTTTTTGTTTTGTGTGCATTCCAGAATTTGTCAATCAAAGATGTTTGCCGAGGAAAATCTTATCATTGGATGGCGATTATAATAGTAGGATTTTCTAGTTAACATGGAGTAGTGACACAATTTATCAAAGTGATGATACAAACGGTTATTGAACACGGTTATTTAGCACTCCATTGCGAACATTTTGGCAGATTGCATAGACACGAAAATGATTATAGATGGGGGTTATTCCACTTTTGCCACTGGTGAAGTGATTAAAGTCACGTCGTGGTGACGCGTTTCTCCATTTGATCTACACAGAGAGTCACATCACCACGACATGACTTTTCTCACTTGACTGTAATGACTGTATTGTCTTAAAACTGATCGAAGATTTTACTGATAGGACTTTTTTCTCTTCTTTCGCAAATGCACCGTACCATCACAATTCAGTCGTGATTTCTGAGGGTAATGGCAAGGAAATTTGTTTAAAATAAAATCTTTCCTCTTAGTTACAGGGATTGATATATTTGTTCACTTCGAATTGCAGCTCACTCACGATTTTGGATTAGTGGTGTGGCAATAAAATGTTGAAATTTATAATTGAAAGAAGACACCGTTTGTCGAAAACTTAAGGCGACCCGTCATAAAGCACACCAAATACGAACTCGTTTTTCGTACCAGGCCTTCTCCGGATCATTTCGGAAATACATATTCCTGATTTTCAACTTTGTTGTCCTACCATTGTTCGGAGACTACGCTTATAAGTGTAATTCATGCTGAAAAGAAATACACATGGATTATTGAGTATTTGTTGCAAGAATACAAAACTAGAATAAATGATTACTCTGACAGCTTATGTTCGTTTACTGGGGGCAAGACAGCTGCACTCAGAGTAAATATATTTGCAGCGAGTAAATTTGAGTTGCTCATATTTACTCAAAAATGAACAAAGTAGTCTCGATTTTCTGATCAAAGAAATATCGTCTGACAGCATATTTCGTTTGAAGCATCTGTTCGCACATTTGACAGATCGTTCGTTTAACAAATCAAATTGTGGACAAACGGAATGTTACTGTGGTGGTTTGACTGCACGACGGTTTTACGGGGCTTGGATGCCTTTCAGGCGCCTTCCCTCGTTGGTGAGGATTGACACGGCCTAGGACGATACAGGAGTGACTGGAGTGACCCATTCCAAAAGAGGAATGCTACTTTTTGGTTACCTGAGGTACAATCTGAGCTTGAAACTTCGTTCGTGGTCAATAGAATTGGTCCTTGACTGCTGATTGTGGTATATTATGTAGCTGCTAATTCTAGGCCAGATTTGTTCAGCTCTGGCCAGCTTCGCCAGCGAAAAAAAAACCACTTCAACTTTAGCGCTTTGCCAGCAATCGTAAATGTATCATTGAAAAAGCCTCTAGCAATGAATTAAAGTTTATTAAAACAAGCAATTGCGAAGGTTGACTGGATGTATTTAATGGTGAATAAATATCAGAAACTAAATAATTTAAAAAAAAAAGTCCATTTTAGGCATTTTAGCGGTCCAATTAAAAAATTTACAGAAAATTGAATTCAACGCTAACATGAGGCCACAAACTATATTGCTCTAAGAATTAAATTTATTGAATTATTTAGCCTAATACCTATCGAACCGCCCCAAAAGTCCCTACACAGAAATTACAAAAAAGCACGTCAACTTATTGCTTGACAGCATCGGTTTCAGCATTATTTTTAATATAACAATCAGGTTGCTATGAGTATATAAGACATTGAGCAGCGTGAGTTACTCAGAGTTACTCAAAATTAACTTCGGTTTTACTCATGATCGATAGCTGTCTTGCCCCCAGTTCGTTTATACTGATTTAATTTTATTTTTTTTACGAATGCGAGACTACTATGATTACTTTTGAGCAATTATGAGTTACTCAAATTTACTCGCTGTGAAAATATTAACTCTTAGTGCAGCCGTCTTGCCCCTAGGTCTGAACGTACTATAAGATGGTGATTTTTGCTAAAGTAATCACACTTAGTTTTCCTTTGGTTTGTTTTTTCCGTCGATCTTGTTTTCCATGCTGAGCACCAATGCTACCGACGTGCCAGGAAGGCAGCTCCCACACCTGGACCCTACCTATCGACCCATCTACTCATGAACCGGGGACCAACGGCTTTACTTCCCATCCGAAGGAAGGCGTGATCAGAGATGTTATGCCTCAGAACATCCCGGCGGCGCCGACTGGGATTCAACCCAGGCCTGCTGGGGTGAGAGGTAATCACGCTTACCACTACACCACCGGCGCCGTTAATCACACTTAGTTGATGCTGATTTCAAATAACAGACTAAAGTGGTAATTTTTATACGATAGAAGGAGGGGATGAAAGTCTAGAGTTGATAGTTCCGTTAGAGTACGGCAGTGTGAAAATTGCATATAGAAAGTAGATAGCGAGCTAGGACAACTTTTAAGGAAGGTACAAATCGTTTTTTTTTTCATCTCTCTTTACCAAACTCCCCCTTTGGAGAGGGATGGTGAGGGGTGTCCCCCCTGAATATTACACCCAAACTGCTGCAACCAGGTCAATCCATCGGTTGTGTAATATAACGTTGTACGATGTTCATCGATTTTGCGAACAAAATTACATCCATTGATGTAATATGGTATCTGCTTTTTGCTATTACATCATTATTTCATACATCAGCTTGAATTACATTGATCGATATTACATTTTTTTTTGCTGTGCAACTGAGATACTTTCAAATTGACCGTTAAATGCTTGTTCGATGAACAACTTATGATTGATACGTCTGTTTGTCTGTGCTGGAACTATTTTAAATAAGTGGGATTACATTAGCAAAAATCACCACAATCGCGCCCCTCGGTGGAACTTTGTATGGGAGCGAGCTGTAAATTTGTTAGCTTGGTGTCAAACAGTGAAGTTATTATTTTGCTTTAAATCTTGATTTAAAAATTGAGATGGAAGTAAATGGGACCGAAAAAAATATCGTTGCGTTCAGAAAATTTTGCCGTAAACAACCCATTATTTGAATGGTTCACTTCCAAAGAACCATAATACATAAGGTTAAAATTTTATCACACAAACGTTCATGTAGAGTTCCATAACCATTTCACACGGATACAAATTTTGTTCATTTAAATCAAAAATATAAATGTTTATACTCTAAACAGCTCTAAACATATGAATTATTCATAGTAAATTGAAAGGATGTTGAAAATTAAGATATGTGTGTTTCAATTAAATTCAAACGCATGTTTATTTCAACAATATCGAAATATCAATTGTATTTGACAGCATCTATCACTGACGTGTTTGTGTTAGACTGACAATGATGGGTTTCTGTACGTGGAATGGAATCATTGGTGGGACCTGGCCAAGCGGAAACGTTTGGCGGTGATAATGGCGCAGAAGACCACTTTCAAAATTTGAATACCAGGATAACTTAGGTAAGCACATTTGTAATCTGCATTAAAAATGAGACCGAAACATTTTGGTACAAATTTGCAAAAATCATACACCGATAAGTAAGTTTATTCAATTCACCGCCGATCTGGCGGTCGAGTAATTTGAAAGCGAATAGAAAAGGCTCAACATCGAACTAAAGTTTCTGGAAGCTCAATTTTCAGGTCACTAGCTTAACAATGTTTGACAAACTTACTTAGAATGTGAAATTCATCACTTAAGTGTGCTTCAAACACAGACAAACAGAAGTAACTCTTTGAATAAATGTTCATCAAACATAATATTATCGTCACTGAACTCACTAATGCGGAAAATAGCTTGCTTGCCATCTGCATACCACGTTCGATAGAATTCGTGCCAGCGCGGTGGTGAGGGATTCGCAAAATTAATATAATTTAAATTGAACGTTAAATGCGTGTACGACGATGGAGAAGAAAGAGTTACGTCTGTTTGTGATCAAATATGACGTCCACAAGTTTCTCGACTTTTATCCCTTTTATCCCCTCCCTCCGCTGTATCACGCTTTATCACATACCTGCTATTACACGTACTGTCACAATTTCTCAGACCCGCCCTCAAGAGTGGACGTCATATTTGAATCGCCCCTTTAGGTGTTAAGAGATGAACCAACCAATACAGATAATTAACTAACTCTTGAAACGAGTTTTTGGGATGAGATGACACGAGGGATGATAGTAAACGTGTTTGAACATTACCTTAAACTAGTAAACACTTCATTTTTCATCATTTTTACTTTATTCAGATAAAGTTTGCGTGTATTACAATTGAGTTACGATAATAGTAATAGATATTTTGCATGTTTTCATCTGTCTTACTTCATTCTCACTAAAGCCTATGTACAGTTACAAAAATATGCTCTAGGTATTTCTTCATCATGTATGGTTGATTTTTATTTAAATCTTTGATTCCACCTGACTATTTTCTCACTTGCGGTGGAAGTGTTTTAGTCTAGCAAAAATTCAACACAATGAAAAATACAAACCGAAACGAAGAACAACCGAAAACCGATGCTGTGTGAAAATTGTCTACCATGAAGCACACGGAAATTTGATTGCACTTTTGCGGGTTTGAATAACTAACTAGTCCTCGAATGGCATCCTATATGTTTCGATAACGTCTAATAAAACAACAATTTATTCAACTACAACCTAGCGTAGCGTTGTTCTGCATTCAAAACCTGAAAACAAGAACCGATTAAGTGGATTGGTAGTGTAATGAAATTAATCAAGGGAATGTTCATGTTGTGTGTGCATGTTGAATTTGTGTATGTGGGTATCTATTGCTCCAAAGCGAATCTCCAAAGAGATCCACGTGTGTGAGAACGTGGCGGAATCGAAAAACTGAGGTGATTGTTGTATCACAAAATTCATCCTTTTAAAACGTTAGCTGTTGTCGTGTTTGATTGTAAGCTTGTAAGAGATGGTCCTAAACATTAATTCGGCGGCTAGGAGCCTAAGTTGTCTATAGATGAATCTTTCAAATGATGTGCTTGTCTTAAGCTATGCACGAAACTCAGTAGAAGAAAAGTAGCCGTTCCTGGGCGGATGATGATAGTAGTCGCCACGTTCGCTTGATGCTGATGTACTGAACGAGGGCACGAACGCAAATCAAGAACCCAAAGGCCATGATGAGCCACCAGAGCCAAGAATTCTCATGTGAAGCGAAATCGGTTGAGTGCTTCACGATGAGAGTCCATTTGGCCAACGAGAGACCGAAGCCTGATAGAGCGCCGTAGCGGGCAGCGATCGTGTGACAGAAGCAGGTCAGCATCAGAAAACCGATCCAGTTGAACAGGAACGCTACCAGAAATGCTGTCACAAATACAATGTCCGTCCCAAGGAGACTGTTGTCCGCGTTGATGTTCTCTCCATCGGCATCGATGGCGATGAAAGTTACTGCTGGGCCGTTGGGTCCGCCTGGAGTGCGACCAATTGGTCCCATCGGAAGTCCAGTAATACTGGGCGGTGGCGGTGGCATATGGCCGTTGGCGCCCGGAGGAATCGGCATCTCGTGATTAATCATCTTCTCCATCTGGACCTCTTCATACGTTGGCAGCTTGGTGGTCATTTCTTGATGGTTTGGTTGAGCGTACTGATGATGGGCATTGTTGTCCGTGACTTCGTATGGCGGCGGAGCACTAAAGTCCGCCTTGGGCGGGGGTAAATCATCGTTATTGCTGTTGTTATTGGCCGGAGGCATCTCGGGCTTCTTCGGAGAGCTGCAAAAAATGGAAAATACTGTTAGTCGATCATGCATAATCGTATAGCATAGTTCGATGATTAGTTCCGATTATCTCGTAAGTTGCATCACAATCTGAAACAACTTTTTCGTAACCACTTGGAAGCTCTTGAGTCTAGAAGAAGCCAGTGTTAATTTTCATTTTATAGAACGACCTTCAATCGTGAGCTTATCATTGTCATTGTTGTCGCTTTTCGGTAAATAACCTGAATCATCAACAGAATCTACTTGCTTTCACTAATCTTGCTTCTCTTGCAAATTTGCAAACAAACACTCGAAGCTCGAAATTCCTAATAATATAATAGCACTAATGGTAAGCACTTTGAGCACCAAAAGCAACAAAAACTTGTCACGTTTGCGTGTGGATCGTCGCCACTTGATTGTCAGCTAGCTAAGTAGCTATCCACGTAGCTGGATGCATATTTGCATAGATACTTATTTCACAATGCCAACCAGTGGCGGCATCATCGTCCAACAATACCTATAGACAGAGCAGCTGTGGAAGCAGTGGCTTCTTTCGGGAAGTATCGATTTTCTGCAGCGACTTCCAGGAAGCGATCAAAACAAAATAATTCGCTTCGCAAACACACCATCGCACATCATCCTCTTGTTGCATAGCACAAAATGTTTAATCCCGTAAATGCAATGCCCCCGATGGCGATGACGAAAGAGAAGCCCCTCCTGACTGACCATTGATTTGATTTGATTCGAATTCGACCATTTTTCCTTTCTCCTTTCTTGCTGATTGATTCCGAGATCCCTTCTATGATGTAATAGCTTGCCGCTGTGATCTCGTTTTACTTACCTCAGCAATTTGTCCTAAAAAAGCGTAAAACTTCCGTACAAATTATAAACTTTTCGATCCGAAAACACACAAACTTTTATCACCCGAGTCTTTTCTCAAATATGACGCATCAAGGTTTCCACCTCCGCCGTCTTTCTTCACCTTGGGATTTGATAACGATAATAATGCAACAGGGTCCTTCTTCGATCGATTCGCTCTGGGTGCAGCAAAACAAAAACTGGATTTGGATATCGATTCCCCAACGTAACCAACACTCCAAAAAATATCTCGATTCAATTTCTACAACCACAAGTGGAGCAAACAGTGAAGCGAACTGATGCTGCTAACTTTTGTTTGAATCAAAAATATATGTACTGCAATGTTATCGAGAACAGGACTGGCAATTCAAGTTTTACACTTCTTTCATTCTTCTGCTGTTCTTATCCACTGACCAGTATGACGTCACACTAATTGTTACCTACGAACATTGGTAGAATGAAAAAGACGACAAATTCTCACTGCCAGACCTGTTATTCATGACACTGCATGTACTGTTCCTCATCCTTTCACTCCACTGAAAAATCCCATAAGGAACTGTCAATCTGTGCGTGAAGAGCGTGAACAGCCAATGTCGACCAAAGTGTATTTAAGCACAGGGATAGTATTCGCGACAATGAAGATGTACACTGAAAAATTGGACAAATCACATATTGATTGAAAACTAATCATTTTAATATTATACCCAGTTTAATCATGCTGGCTTTCTAAAAACTAATCAAAGTTGATTGAATTTTAGTCTCCTCTGAGTAAAATTTAATCATGTTCTTGATTATTTCCATGAAAGTGTTAAATATGATTAACAGTGCAAAATCCAACGTCAAACTTGTTCGAAACCTCGTTTGCGTTTGTGATTCCGGGTGTGCTGCGATGGAAGAAGTGTTCGGTGCCATCGGTGAAGACACCACGGAGGTGCTTAAAGGTAAGATATATAATTAAAAAGAAGCCATTTCTCCATTAGTGCCGGACAATTCGCTCGTCATCATTAGGGTCATTCGTCAAGGAATAAAAATCTGGAAGTTGTCCGGATCTTCATTCATCAATAAATGATTGTTTGATATCGAGAAAGCTTGCGGAAAATCTACTCCGGAAGCGCGGAGTGAGCGAGATTTGTGCCGCATCGGGAATGGACTAGGATCATCCAGCCGTTCAATTGTTGATCGTATAATGTATTCTAATGTTTGATTTCAACAAGTCTGACTCTGACTCCAGCCCAAAAATTGCTTTAACTGCTTTCTATTTTTTTTTCGTTTCTTACAGACCCAGTGTTACACAGGAAACCACGGCAAATAGGATAGAACGACGGCAGTGAGGCTAGAAGTAGGAGCGTCCGCTTTGTTTCATCCAAGGCTTGTGTTTTTTAATGTATAGAAATAAAATACAAATGAATTCAAGATTTAGATGTTCTTCTATAAACTTTATCATGTTTTTCCACACACTTATCTTTGTTTGCCGAAATGGGCACCACCAAGCAGCTTGCGTTGATTAGAATGTATTATTGGGATGATGAATAATTAATTTTAAAATTAATAAATTTCAATGTTAATTTTATCACTGCAACATTGAAAAGTAAGCATTGCATGATTATTTCAAATTTATTCATGCATGATTACTGGCAAATTAATCTTGGTTCTGACTGAATAAGGCAAAGCGGAAGATTGCTTAGTTTTTAAGCATTTTTGATTTAATTTATATTTGAGTGTAGTGGTCCGAAAAAGAAAAAAGCATCCCTACACTGATAAATTAAACTATACCCATTTTGCTTGAAATTTAATTAAACTCAGTTTAATAAACAATCAATACGCAACTAACGATTTTAAATTGGCTCACTACTTGACTAGCCTATTGGTCCCAAGCAAATCTAAAGGCCCAAACGCAATGACGACGGAAGCGGAACGGCAACGGCAGCGGAAAAGCCCGATCTGAGTAAGCCTACTTGTCGGATTGAAAACTAGTTAGATCCAAATCGACTTCGGTTAGGCATCTTGATGTCATTAGTGACAACTGTCAAACTTTCCGTTTCCGTTCCGCTTCCGCCCACATTGCGTTTGGGCCTTAACGGCCCCATTCTATTCGAAATCCTACACTGATAAAATTTCAAAGATTGTTTTTATGTGTCCCACACATGAATTTTTGCAATGTGATCAACAAATGATATCTATTTACCCCGGACAGACTATGACTTATATCATGTAATATAGGCTGTCTTGCAATGAACAGTCATACATCTTGTTTTCACTGGAAATCCAATGTATGAGTGCTCATTGCAAGACAGCCTATATTACATGATATAAGCCATAGTCTGTCCAGGGTATATGTGTCGGACGCATACTTAATATGTGTACAGATAAAAGCCATGTGTAACCACATATACTCTTAATTTGACTCATAAATTTCATGTGTGCTTCTTGGTGGATTTTGTTTATGTGTGATCACATGAAAATCATATGGAATTTCCCATGGAAATTCGTCAATCAAAATGTGTGGAATTTTATAAGTGTAGTACTACCACAAACGAAGTTACAGACGACTTTCTCCGAAGAAATTAATTAAAATAAGGTGGTTCTCTGTAATAGAATTTTAGACCACTTTCCGCCGCTCACCGCCAGGTTCGCTAGTATTTTTGATTTGAATTAATTCAAGTTGGTTTTGTGTGCAATGATCTGGCAACTCGCGTTCTCGCTCGCGTTGACGGGGTGCTGTTTTCTCACTCATCGAAGGAAATTTTGATTAGAGTGAGAAAGTAAGGAACAGTCAGCGCGGGAACCGTGTGCGGTACTATAGGTGCGGCAGAAAGAATGTAGTCGACTCCTTCGTTCTCACGGTGTTCTTACGCATGATCCAACGTTACGTCACACTAGATTATGCATAAGAACGTCGTGAGCAAAGTTTGTATGTTTGGGAGCCTCTTGCATTCAACTCGCATTCGTCCTCGAGTTCGTGTGGAAGCCATTCAGAGCGGAGGTGGCCAGGAGCGTGGCATTCGAAGTGGAACCGTTCCGACTCCACTGGTCGTTGGATTGGGGGAAGCCTGTGAAATCGCTAGCCGTGAAATGGAGTACGATCACAAATGGATGGAGTTCCTCTCGAAACGCCTGATGGACCAAATCTTCGCATCGCTACCGAAAGTCATCCGCAATGGCGATCCAGTTCATTCTTATCCCGGATGTATCAATCTGTCGTTTGCATACGTTGAGGGTGAATCGCTGTTGATGGCGCTGAAAGACGTTGCCCTCTCGAGTGGGTCGGCTTGCACTTCGGCTTCGCTGGAACCGTCGTATGTGCTGCGTGCGATTGGTGCCGACGAAGATCTGGCTCACAGCTCGATTCGCTTTGGCATCGGACGGTTTACCACCATCGAGGAAATCGACTACATAGCTGAAAAGTGCATCAAGCACGTGACTCGACTCCGAGAGATGTCCCGCTGTGGGAGATGGTCCAGGAAGGTATCGACATCAAGTCGATCCAGTGGTCGCAGCATTAGAGCGGACGGGTCGGGGCATATTTTAAAGAGAGATTTGATTTTGTATGTTCTGCTGTGTATGGTTGAATTCAGTGAGGGTTTTTTTTTAATTGTTAATCATTGATTGTGTTATTAACACATCCACATTTGGTAGTAAGTAGGTATTGAGACGAGAGAAAAATAATGTATAGCTTTGCTACATATGCTATTAGAGACAGCAATAAATCTTAAGACAGTGAAATCATTGTGAGTATTTCATCATTCACTTGGCGAAAAAACTTCCTATCAGCGATTGTTTGAAATAGTATAAACTTTGTTAGTTCCCGTCAAGGACGGCGTTGTTACGACTACGCTAAATTCGCAAATCTGAGGTATTCGTGGACTGCCATCTCAGATTTGCTTTGGCGCGGATTAGTTCCACTTAGGGTTAATTCAACTAAGTTTCGATTCTAATTATTTGAAGACTCCAGGAAAATCTACGTTTAGAAAGACCTTCTATTATTTAATAAAGAAGTAAAGCAGTAAAGTTATTAATAGTTGGTTGGGCAAGCTAAAATATCATTTAAAAAAATGTGTTCAATGTCGATAAGCTTTCCGCAAAATCCGCACTTCAAAAGCTATAAAACCGCACAAAATTTGCGACACTTGTAACAGCCCTGCAGTTGGCTTCGGCGTGCCAGAGAATACCTAATCCACCTAACTGGACCTGAAGAAACGGAAAGGAGCGCGACTGGGATTAGACGGGCTAGCCTTATGAAGCTCTCTACTGACATACAATATAGCATGGTTGCAGCAACCTTATATTTCACCTATTTGTCCCTAAAGATCACTAATTTACACCCGACACCCTAGGTAGGATAATGTCATCGCAAATAACAACAATTCCCGTTGAATACATAGTGCGAAAAATGCTCTTGAATTACCCCAAACCGTCTCATCACAACCTACGCCTCGGTCAGCGTGGCCCGACCGATCGTTTTCGGCATCTTTTTATTGGTGGAATCCTCGAGCTCCTTCGGTTTGTAGTAATGCGGTGCCGCCTCCAGCAGCCACTTGCTTTCGATTTCAATCACCGACCGCATGTACTCCTTCGTCGTAAACACCAGCTCGTGGTACAGCACCCAACGAGGCAGTTCTTCGAACAGTGCCGAATTCGGATGGATCATCACCGTCTGATTGTGCTTGGCCGTTTTGTAGTGACCCCCCCCCTTAGAGAGCCGAGCGACGTGATAAAAGTACCCGGCTGTAATAGCCTTCCGGATGTTGGTCGTTTCCGGCAGACTGGAAACCATTTCGATTTCGACTCGCTGCATTAACCCAACCAGCTGCTCCCGGACATCGCGAGCTCGTTTCATCGAACGGAACTGAATGAAATTTTCGTAACACCACTGAGTGCTGTAGTCCGATTCGGCCCATTGATTGTAGACCTGCATCAAACTCAAGTGGTCCCCGTGCATGTGGTTGAAGTTCTTCCGGGCCGTATCTGCGTGGATGATTTTATCTTTCGGTCGGTAGAAGATGGCTCCATTCACCGATAGCATTGCAGCGATGGCCACCACCTCCTCGGAACATTTGTACTTTTCACTAGCAAGCAGCATTTTTGCCATCATGGGATCGACCGGAAATTCCGCCATCCGTCGTCCAAGTTTGGTCAATTCACCGTGGTGATTCAATGCCCCTAGGGCGTAAAGTTGCTCCAATGCCAAAACCAACGTTTCATGTGGTGGAGGATCGAGGAAATCGAAATGAAGCAAACCGTTGATTCCAAGAGCTTTGAGCATTAGCACGGCATTGCCCAGGTTTATGCGCTGAATTTCCGGGACGGTGTTGTCTTCCAGCTCGTGTTTGTATGCCCAGGCTGTGTACAGACGAAAGCACTTGCCAGGGGCAACGCGCCCTGCTCGACCTGCACTTTGATTGGCAGACGCTTTCGAAATGGGCACGACCATCAGGGTCTCCATCCCGGTTCTGGAGTTAAAATTATTTTGCTTTGCAAAGCCCGGATCGATCACGTACATTATGTTATCGATGGTTAGTGATGTCTCGGCGATGTTGGTGGCCAGTACGACTTTCCGGGCGTTCGGTGGAGTTGGATCGAAAATTTTCGCCTGCATGACCGAGGGCAGATTGGCATAAATGGGAAGGATGAGTAGTTCCTTGAGTTTGGAACCCAACCGCTTGACGCGATCCTGGAGCATCTCCTGGCAGGCTTCGATTTCCTCTTGTCCTGGAACGAAAAAAAAAATGTAATTTTTTAACATCGCATAGAAATAGACCGACTTACCAGTTAAAAATACAAGAATGTCTCCCAAGAGGCTGAGTGGCATGAATCTGTAGAACCGACACCACACATGCATCGATATAATCTGCTTCCGGTGCTTTGGTGTAGAAGACATCAACCTAGAAGAGAAAAAGTTAGATTTTACAGCAAAACACAAAGCAAGTCAAATCTAACTACGTACCGGAAAACGACGACCAGGAATACGGAATATGTTCGCATCATCGAAGAAATCCGAAAACTTTTCCGCATCCAACGTGGCACTGGAAATCAGTAGTTTCAAATCCAACCGAAACCGCGCAATGTCCTTCACCAATCCAAACAGAATGTCCGTGTGCAACGTACGCTCGTGAGCTTCATCGATAATCATCACACTATACGAAGCTAGGTCCGGTTCCGAAAGAAACTCCCTGTGCAACGTACCATCTGTCATGTATTTAATGACAGTCCGCTCGGATGTGCAATCCTCGAAACGAATACTATAACCAACTTCGTTGCCCAACTTGACGCCCATTTCCTGTGCAACACGTGCCGCCACGGACATCGCTGCCACGCGACGAGGCTGAGTACATCCAATCTTCTTGCCGTCGTTTGTAAACCCAGCTTCATAGAGATACTGTGGAATCTGTGTCGTTTTTCCCGAACCCGTTTCTCCTTCGATAATAAGAATCTGGTGTTCTTTTATAGCGGCTATGAGATCCTCCTTGAATGGAAAAACTGGAAGTGATTTCTTCGTTTCCTCAATGTCCATCTTCTTCCTTTCCGCCTCAGATACCGGTGCTTTCCGGTCCTTTTCTTTAGTTCCATCCAGTCGGAGTGCCTGGACGAAATCAATCTGATCATCCAACAGCAGTTCATACTCTTCAGCACCAGCACCACTTGCGAACCTCTTCGTTTTTGAAAGTAAATTTCACGCACAGTCTGACGTTTGCTTACGGATTTTACCATAGGAGTAAAGAGCTATAGATTCGCCGTCAAGGCCAATTGGCGTTGACGGCGACTCTGTAGCTCTTTACTCCTATGAGAAAATCCATAAGTAAACGTCAGACTGTGCGTGAAACATGGCGGACTTTGTACTATCCTTTCACTCCACCGAAAATTCCCATAAGAAACTGTCTATATTTGCTGAAAGAGCAAATTTTTCGACGGTGCCGTCAACGCCAATAGCATCAACTATATACTTTAAGCTAGTACATATGAGTAGATAGTGTTGCCGTGAGGTACACTGAAAAATTGAAATAGCAGGTTAGTCACCAAAGTTTTCGAGCCGCTCCGTCTGTCACTTCGTTTGTGGTACTACGGTACTACACTATGTTTGTTTTGATTCGATATGAAAGTTTGACAGATAAAATGAAGGGTTCGTGGATTTTTCTATGTTTCGAGGGGTGCATCGGATACCTTTGGACCGAAGATAGTATCAGAGCTGAGCCAAAAAGTTGAGCTCGTTTCTTTGGGACCTTCTGGTCTTAGAGTTACCTCTATGGATTAATCATATCGAATAATTAAAAATTAATACTCTCTTTCTAAAAAATAAGCATCTGATATTAATCCCAGTTTAATCAGGGTTGATTAGATTGAAGATAATCTTTTTTGAATAAATTTTAATCATTTTTGATTCTATTTTCATAATTTTTGATTGAATTTTAATCTTTTTTGATTATATCGATCGAGGGGCACGCAACACAAAGAACCGGTGCGTTGAAGTTTAAATGCAATCAAATGTACTTAAAGTAATTAATGCGTTCTTCGTTAAAATTTAATTTAAAATTTTCTGCGTGTAGCTGTCAGTTCCACTTAAAATAATCTCTTGGATCATAAATAAAACAGCAAAAAGGGTTATATTCCATTTAATTCCACTTAATTAATTTTTGTATCCATGACTTCAGTAGTACTGACAGTAATTAAAATTATCTATCCTGGATGATCAGGAATAGATTCAAAATCCATTTCGAATTTTCGTTTTTCTTCCGACATCAGTTGTGGAGGAGGACGATACAGGGATCGGACACATACTTAATATGTGTACACATGAAAGCCATGTGTAATACATACTAAATTTCATGTGTGCCTCTGGGTGAATTCTGTTTATGTGTGGTCACATAAAAATCATGTGGAATTTTACATGGAAATTCGTCAATAAAAATGTGTGGAATTTTATTAGTGCAGGGGGTTTCCGGATCCATGACTTCGGATTTGTTGCGGGCCGTTTTCAGTTGATTGGCATTTTTTTTCCGAATGTAAACAAGAAGGAAAAAAATGTAGGGCACGCTAAAAATCGTTAACCCAAATTCTATATAAGCATATATATTTTTGTTGCAAACATGTCTTTAATTTATTATGAATTATTCATATGTTTATAGAATGAACATTTATATTTCTGATTTAAATGAACAAAATTCGGTTCCGTGTAGAAATCTAGAATGTGGGAATGATCTGGTGTTAATGGTGCTTTTTAAACATAAACAAAGCAGAAATTTATAGGAGAATAAACTGCCAGTTCTACTGTGATCGGTCAAAAGTTCTTGGCAAACAAAAAAGTCAGCTGATCGCAACCACAAACGAAGTGACAGACGGAGCGGTTCGAAAACTTTGGTGACTAACCTGCTATAGCAATTTTCAGTGTACCACATGGCAACACTACTACTGGATTGTACCACATGGCAACACTAAATGTACTAGAATGTTTTGGTTCTACCAACAATCAATACGAAACTAACGATTTTAAATTGGCTCACCACTTTAGTAGCCTATTGGTCCCAAGCAAACGATTAACGTACCCTATTCTAGTTGAAATTCTATTACTACACTATGTTTGTTTTGATTCGCTATGAAAGTTTGACAGATAACATCAGGGGTGTGTGGATTCATGCAGAACATGCAGGGGTGAGTGAAATAGCTTGGGACTGCTTGGGACCGTTGTTCTGGTACTGAGTGAGCCAAAAATAATAATGATTTTCTTCGGGACCCAGTGGTCTTAGAGTTACCTCTATGCTTTTACCGCTCTTAGGCTCTGAACCATTTGGCGAATTTTTTTTAACTTATCGTTATCGATTAACCCTGCTATCCGAGCATGGTTATTTCTGACAGACAAGAAGTTAAATTTTGACGACCATGGCTCGAAAATCGGTCGATCGACAGCACGGGGATTTTCGAACATAAGAAATAACTTTCAAAATGTCACTTTTAACCACGAGTTAAATTTAACTCGGCAAATGGTTCACAGCCGTAATAGAAATTAAACTTTTTTTTTTCAGTGTGTCTTGCGTGCAACTCACAGGTTCAAAGTCATTATAGCATTTCACTCACCCACTGGGCAGCGTTACCAAAACATCTCTTTCTGTCATTCTTTGTTCTCCTTTGTCCTCTTCATTCGGACTTCTGTTTTGGCGCGAATCGACCGCCATCGCATTCGAGCATCTGCGTTTCTCGTCGCTAGTGTTGACTTTGTATCTTGCAAGATTTAATTTTCTGTATGTTTTATAGTTTTTGTTAAGCTAGCATTTAAAGTTTTACTACATTTTGTTCAGTAATTCTTGTTACTCTAGTGGGTCTTGTTTTCTTTAAATTTCGTCAACATGCAGCGGGATTACTCAGCCGATAAAGGTGAGCGTTCGTTGAGTTCTACTAGGCAAGTTCAAGCTCATGCTTCTTTGGATTTTTAGAAACGATCATAAGCTTCCTGACCGAGTTCTACAAGGAGGACGATGATGGCAAGAAGATCTTCGTGTACGCAAGGCAAATGACAAATATTGCCCACCGGGAACAGGTCGGACTAACGATCGATTTGGACGATGTCGCCAGTTACAACGATCAGCTGGCTGAGGCTATCCAGGGCAACTGCCGACGTTATGTGAAGCTGGTTTCCGATACCATTTTCGAGTTGCTGCCTTCATACAAAGAACGGGAAGTGATCAACAAGGATCCGTTGGATATTTACATCGAGCATCGTCTGTTGATGCAATCTCGCATGAGGAATCCTAACGAACATCGGGATGCTCGGAATACAATTCCGTCGGAGTTGGTCAAGCGGTATGAGGTGTACTTCAAGGCATCGAGTTCATCGAAAGCGGTTGCTATTCGCGAAGTTAAAGCGGAAAACATTGGTAAACTGGTAACGGTTCGAGGTATCGTAACTCGTTGCACGGAGGTGAAGCCGATGATGACGGTGGCGACGTACACTTGCGACCGTTGTGGCGCTGAGACCTATCAACCGGTGACGTCCATGAGCTTCATGCCTTCGATTGATTGTCCCTCGGAGGATTGCCGTGTCAACAAAGCCGGTGGAAGATTGTATTTGCAGACTCGTGGATCGAAGTTTATGAAGTTCCAGGAGTTGAAAATTCAGGAGCATAGCGATCAGGTTCCGGTTGGTCATATTCCACGTTCGCTGACGGTTATGTGCCGTGGAGAGATTACGCGTTTGGCCCAACCAGGAGATCACGTTGTGATCAGTGGCATCTTCTTGCCGCTTCAGAGAACCGGATTCAGGGCGATGGTTTCTGGATTGTTGAGCGAGACTTTCCTAGAAGCACATCGTCTGGTTTGCCTGAACAAGTCGGACGATGGGGATACAAGCAACGATCTGACTCCGGATGAGTTGACAGAATTGGCAAAGGATGACTTCTATACTAGGATCGCTAGCAGTCTGGCACCGGAAATCTACGGTCATTTGGACGTGAAGAAAGCGCTGCTTCTGTTGCTTGTCGGAGGCGTCGATCGTAGTCCGGATGGAATGAAGATTCGTGGAAACATAAATATTTGTTTGATGGGAGATCCTGGAGTTGCCAAGTCGCAGCTGCTGGGTTACATTGATCGCCTTGCTGTCCGCAGTCAGTACACTACGGGCCGTGGTTCTTCTGGAGTAGGTTTAACTGCTGCCGTTATGAAGGATCCACTTACCGGTGAAATGATGTTGGAAGGAGGTGCGCTGGTACTAGCAGATCAAGGAGTTTGCTGCATTGACGAGTTTGATAAGATGGCAGATGGCGATCGAGTCGCTATCCACGAAGTGATGGAACAGCAAACGATTTCGATTGCCAAAGCTGGTATCATGACCTGTTTGAACGCCCGAGTTTCTATCCTGGCAGCGGCTAATCCGGCCTACGGACGGTATAATCCACGTCGTACCATTGAACAGAACATTCAACTCCCAGCCGCTCTACTTTCCCGTTTCGATCTGCTGTGGCTGATCCAGGACAAGCCGGATCGTGACAACGATCTTCGACTGGCCAAGCATATTACATTCGTTCATAGTCACGGAAAGCAACCCCCGTCTCGCATCAAGACGTTGGACATGTCCTTGATCCGTCGGTACATTTCGCTTTGCAAGCGCAAGACTCCAGTCATTACGCCGGAACTTTCCGAGTACATCGTCAACGCCTATGTGGAACTGCGCCGGGAGGCACGCAACAGTCGCGATATGACCTTCACGTCCGCCAGAAATCTGCTGGGAATTCTTCGTTTGTCCACAGCTCTGGCACGCCTCCGTTTGGCCGATGAGGTAGATAAGGATGATGTTCAGGAAGCCCTTCGATTGCTGGAAATGTCCAAGGACTCGCTGAATCTGACCGAACAGAAGCCCACACAGTATGTTTCATTTGGCTTTTGGTTAAAGGTAGTATGTCTTCTAAACATGATTTTTTTGTTTTCAGCGTGCAAAACACCTCGGACAAGATCTTCGCCCTGGTACGTGAACTGGCCGGATCGAGTAAAACGGTCAAGATTTCCGATGTCCTGGAGCGTTGTACCACCAAGGGATACAAGCCGGATCAGATGGACGCTTGTATAGAGGAATACGAAGAGCTCAACGTGTGGCAGGTCAACCAGACGAGGACTAAGATAACCTTTATTTGAATGCTCTTTGGCGTTGGGTTTAAGAACTTTACATTTAACTTGCATGTTTTCGTCGCTTTATTCTAGATAATAAGAATTTGTGTTTATGCTATCATTTAAAGGCCAAGTTCCGGTTTGCAGTTAAATACTTAGTTTTTTAAACGTATTTTCATACCTATAGTACAATAATAGACGTGAGCGAAAAGGCTCTCGATATGCTGCGCCACCTTATGATCAATAAAACAGTGACTTTTCTAATACAATTTGTATGGTTATTTTGCTTAACACGAACACGTTGTGGTATTATGTAAACCATTTGTGGAATGGTTGTATCATTCACCCATATTCTTGTTTTCGTTCAAACCGTATTTTCCATACAAAAAACTTTTTTTTTGTATGGAAAATACGGTTCGAACGAAAACAAGAATACGGGTGATTATCTTCCGTTTTTTTGTCTTTCGTCATTTTTTTATAAAATCATTTTAGTTGAAATATTTTCGAACACGATTTTCCTTTCAACGATGATAAACATAAAATGTACAAATCCTAGAACCTCTCACCCGAGCCTGGGTTCAATCCCAGTCGGCGCCACAGGGATCTTATGAGGCAAGTAAAGGCGTTGGTCCCCGGTTCATGAGTTGATGGGTCTATAGGTAGGGTCCAGGTGTGGGAGATGTCTCCCTATATTCGGTAGCATTGCTTCTCAGCACGGAAAACAAGATCGACGGAAAACAAACTAAAGGGAAACAAAAATACAAAACCCAGACTGCCTATAATCGCATATCAGTCCCATTTGGATTTTCGTCAATTTCACAACAACATTTTGCACTATCGGTTGGATCTACTTTCATATTACGCGATAAAATTTCATACTTTGATAGAGCTCCCTCTCCCCGAAGGTGGGTGGAGAAAACAAAAAAGTAAGAGGTATCTAAGACACGACCTTAGATTTGACGTAGGATTACGAAAGGTAACTCGTTATCAGTGAAAAATTTCGATAGGTTGAAATTCGAATGCAGTTGGAGAGTTCTGTTTTTGAAGTGCTCTGTCGATGTTCATGTAGTACAAGCCAATCCTGGACGATATGTCTTGGATTCAAGCTTTTATTAGCCATTTGTGGTCCTGAAAAGGACCGATGGGTTGGAAGCTTGGAAGCTAGTTAAGAATAATACGGTGGAAATTTTTCCTCGATGTTTTTGGAAATGATAGCGGTGCGGAAATGAAATATGTAGGGGAAATGGATTTTTAGCGATGGGCCTAATCTTAGATCCATAGGCCAACAATAGAACCATTTTCCTTATTAGGGAAAACACATCAATCACAGAATCTGAACCTACCGGACGGTACCTACGTTTATACTTTTTGATGCAAATTTTAAGCCCTTTCTTATTAGGGCAAGGTTTTTTTTTTTAAATTCTTTATTATAGAGACTTTTTGCCGAAGGCTAGTTCATCTCTTACAAAGTTTTTTGTTTGCATAATGCTCTTAATAGGAGGGGCTTAAAATTTGCAAAACGCATAAATATTGGTACCGTCTGGCATGCTCAGTGCTTGATATCAATATTCGGCGACTGTGTTAGGGAAACCACTTCTCCCATCACGGAAACGCCTCGTTTCTGATGACAAAATTACGCATTTACGTGCATAAAACGCACGATATTTTTTGTTTTATTCAATAGATAGGAGAAATGGCTCTAATATTGGCCTATGGATCTAAGATTGGGCCCATCGCTAAAAATCTGCTGGCTATCAATTTTATCTACCGGTACCGTCATTGGGATCTGATTCTCTTTAACAAATGTATGGTGGTTCTGAAAAGGACCGTTTTGTCGTGATGGTTGAGTAATGCTGAGCTATTCGAAGGGGGCGACACATCTAAATCTCACTTTTAGATGCTCAAAAAATCTCACACTAGCGAATCAATCTTCGACATATCTTCTTGCATTTCTCGTATTATCTTTTTGCAGGAAATCTTCAGAATCGTCATCAATCTTCTTCCTATCTACTCAGCGTGCGAGTAGCTAGCCACAGCACAACACAATCTTTACTACAGCGTAGATAGAGTCGTCCCCCTCGGAGCTATTAGGGTGTTCAACGCGGATGAGGCTGACGAGCTGTATGTTGTTTGGAGCAAGGGTGACATGCTTGGCATAGATGACCCGCAGCGACTCACGAAGAAACTGATTCCGATCCATAGCGGTGCGGCTTCTTAATCCTTCTATGGAAGCTCATGTGGGTCCTGCAGCACGCTGCTTGCAGGCTGCCTTTCGTTGTGTACAGGAGAACAATGTTCAACGCCACACGCTGAAAGCACTGCTGCTGCTGATGATGCTGCTGCGGACACCGTCGACTGGACATCGCCACACAAAGTGATTAAATGAGCACCGTTCAGTGAGACAGGATCGAATTTGATTTTTAAATTTGTGTTAGGGAATGCGCTGTTTGCAGGCAATCGGTGATAATTTTGATCACCATTGCAACACTTTGTGTAGTGATCTAACGAAAATTGATAAAGTGTTCATTTAAGCAGATTGGTAGATAAATTTCCAATCGTTTGGCTTGTTTAGAATTAAAATTCATCTAATATTGACAGAGTTATATGTGGTCAAAACCTGACCTCTTTTCGTAATTCGTTCGATTTTGGTTTTTTGAAATTGCACCTCCAATATGTTGCCGAAAGACGTATTCCTACGTCAAAATACAACTCGGTAGCAGGGATTTCTACCTAAATTATCTTGCAACCCTTGCTAGAAGCTAGCATTTCACATGACTATTACTTTTGATTCGATTTAGTGCAAAATAATAATTCAGTGCACACACGGAACATAAAGGTGATTGAATTTCTGTTCGATTGCAATACTCTCAAATTGAATGTAGTAAGAAGAAAAAATCCTTTGAAAATTCTAATGGGAATGTTCGATTGGCTCAGAATTTGACAGTTAATTTGACATTCTCTCCGCCCATCTCTCCCGCTCAGTATTTCTAGTTTCTCCTAAAGAGCCTGAATTTATAAAGAGGCGACATCTTATCCATTTGACAGGTCTTCTGCTCGATTGGAATGACTTTTCCTATAACTTTGACAGACAATCGATTGTTCCAATTTTGACATGTCGTCTCTTTATAGATTCAGGCTCTTTAGTTTGTCCCATCAAGCAAAGTAATCGCATATCTATCCCATCCTCAAATTTAATCGTGCAGAGGTGAAGCTACAAGTTCTGAGATTTTCGAGTTGCCATATTTTTCGCTGATATAACAAAACATGCAAGCTTCAATGCAACTGATTTTAACTTGATAAAAATATTAATATATTGTATATGTTTCAAATGTTCATGGAAATCGCACTTCGTAGCTTCGACTGCCATTTTCTCAATGCCCACTTTTTCCGTACGGGACTGATATGAGATTATGGGCAGCAGACCTTTCAACATTAGACTTCAAACCGCTCGAACAAGATCTTAATTATCCCCTGACGATAATAAGTATAGAAAGTGACAAAGTTGACTGAAATCTCTCAAAAACTGTCCCAATTGAATTTTGATCAGATTCGATCAATTATGTGGTTTTGAGTTATTATTGGTTATGATTTTTCAGCTTTTTTTTTCGATGAGGTACACTAAGCATTCGATGAACAACTTGCGATAATTATGTCTATTTGTCTGTGCTTGTGGTATGATTAAACTCGTATCATAGACAAACAGACATAACACATTGAGTATTTCTCACTGTTAAACATCGTCGCTAAAACATTACCGCCATCTGTTAAGTACACTGTGGTGGGTAGTACGCTGAACAGATGGCGGTAGTGTGTAAACGTCAAACTCAAGGGAAATGGCTATGCGCGCTACACGTGGCAGTACCAACAATCAATACGAAACTAACGATTTTAAATTGGCTCACCACTTTAGTAGCCTATTGGTCCCAAGCAAACGATTAACGTACCCTATTCTAGTTGAAATTCTATTACTACACTATGTTTGTTTTGATTCGCTATGAAAGTTTGACAGATAACATCAGGGGTGTGTGGATTCATGCAGAACATGCAGGGGTGAGTGAAATAGCTTGGGACTGCTTGGGACCGTTGTTCTGGTACTGAGTGAGCCAAAAATAATAATGATTTTCTTCGGGACCCAGTGGTCTTAGAGTTACCTCTATGGCAGTACTACCAACTACGATACTTTTAAATTGACCGTTAAATGCTGCTTCGATGAACAACTTGCGAGAGTTATGTCTGTTTGTCTGTGCTCGTATGACAATCCCAAAATCAATGGTGGTTCATAAATACTGAAAAAATGTTGAAACATTAGCCGTGAAAAGTGGCGAGGGGGGCGACACATCTAAATCTCAATTCTAGATGCTCAAAAAATCTCACACTAGCGAACCAATCTTCGAAAAATCATCTTTCATTTCTCGCATCTACTTGCATTGTGCTTCATCTTTTTGCAGGAAATCTTCAAAATCAACATAAATCTTCCTTCTATCTACTCAGCGTGCGTGCAGCTAGCCACAGCAAAACACAATCTTTTCTGCATCGTAGATACACACTTAAACAGAGACCCTGAGTTCGGTAAAAAAAATTACCGTCTTAGATCGGTAATCCTAAAAATTACAGATGTTTCGGTATTTTCTCGCTCTATTGCTGAAAACTGTAAATAAAATTACCGAATTTCGGTGATTTCATTTCAATTCAACGAAAACGGTAAAAAAAATTACCGGCAGATCTGTAAATCAGCTTCATCACTGACTTCGGTGAAATATTTTACTGAAGTTTCGGTAAACAAACCGTTCCATTACCGAGTTCGGTAGTTTTCACAGCGAGAAACGTCAAATTCACCATATTGTGAGTCTATCTATAGAGTCGTCCCCCTCGAAAAGTGGTCAACTCACCTCGAATATGTTTAGCTGGATTGACAATTGTATGGTCTCGAAATTGAATAACATATTAATTAAGGTGGACCTCTTTGAATCAGAGAAGTTGAAAACTAATCGACCTATTCGGGACAAAACCACTGTACTCCTGCATTGGATTTCTACAACGATAAAACGTATTAAGTCTCTGAAAAACGTGTGCATTTCAATAACTTTTCATCCCAGTAAATATAAATGTTATCGTGTGAATAATTCACATTGAGAAAACAAAACTACAATGGACAGCCTTATGGGGTTGTACCATAGAGGTAACTCTAAGACTAGAAGGTCCCGAAATAACGTGCTCAACTTTTTGGCTCAGCTCTGGTACTCT